GGGCAGGGTCCGTGGAATGTATTTTTAAATACTTCTCACCAGAGATTTACTTCTGAGCTTCTGTGGTCCTCACATCCACCATTATTAGTCCTCGACAACATGCAGCTGCTACATCATCATCTTGGGGTGGCTCTTCTCTCCCACAAATGCAATGCTAAGGTTCTTCCCAGGTACCCAGGCCGCTGGTGGCTTCCTGCTTCCGGGGCCAGGCCGTGGAGGCTGGGTGACCCACCACCCCGCCACTCGGCCCCAACGCTCCCCCGTGTAGTGTTTGAGTGTCTGGGGCCAAGTGGCCGCCGCTGTGAAAGTGAGTGGCGGGACCCTGGCGGTGGCGATTATGACACAGGGACATCTAGAAGAGTGGCCAGCACTGTGCACAGGGGACAGAGTGCTCACCTGTGACCACCGTCTGTCCCCGTGATTGATTTTGGCTGACACTGGAAGAATTCTGGGGACACAACTGATTTCCGACTCCGATGAAAATTACTTTCTAAGGCACAAAAAGGTGGTCAATGACTTCACTGAGCTGCTTCGAAATTATGTGACTTTTGTAATTGCTTTGGTGGCCATTTTATATAAAAAGGTCAATGGAAGGAGGAGATTGAGGAATATTGAAAGTTGTCTGGGAACTTTGATTCTATTAATACAGAAAATTTACTTTGAAAGTCCAAATAATTATTAAATTACCTCATCAGTACCTTTTAATAGGGGCTTTTCAAATACTAAACTTCCTCTTGCAGACTCTCAATTCACTTTTAATAGTTTGTTATGTGTGATACATGGATATCAATATCTCAGGAAACTCAAGGGAAAAAAAAACCAATTATACGACCTCAAAATGACTGAACATAAAATCAATGCATGAAGTGATTTTTAACTTTTCATGCTATCTCATAAATGTTAAAATCATGTGAGTAAATAGGCAGGGATTTTTCCACAGATTTCTTTTTTAAAAATACGTGTCCTGAAATATTTACATTGCAACGTGACCGCGGAGCCGTGGCCTCGGCTGCTGGCCGGGGCTTTCCCTCTGCGTGGGCGACGTGGCGGGGACGGAGTCCCGGTCCCACGCGCGGGGACGAGTCTGCATCTCACTAAGCGCGACGCGGGGTCTGCCCTCACTAACGGGGAGGATGCGAGTTCTCCAGAATAAAGGCTTTTGCTCCTTTAGTTGGAGAGAGCAAATCAAGCACAGCCTCGGAATTATTTTTAGCAACATGTTTTCCAGGGAAAATGTCAGTCATTTCACAGCCTGCTTTTGGCCAAAAACATTAAAAATTACTTCGTTGTCATTAAAAAGTGCTCATTTTCATTTTCAACGTCAAACTATGTGCCGCTTGGTTGGCCCGAAACTTCTCAAATTAGTTTACTTACTTATCCTTAGGAGGGCAGAGCGTTGGCTTTGTTTGTGCCGAGACGTTTTGAGAGCGGAATAGCGAACTACAGTTCTATTAGGTAGCAAGGCAGGACCTAGGCGTTACGGGGAGAATGTTACAGAGGTTTGGGGTGAAGACGGATGGGTGAGCAGTAAGTCAGGGGAGCCTGAGAACGATGAGGCCGCGGGTCCCCTTCAGGGGCGGGGGGCGGGGGGAATGGCGCCCCGGAAGCCAGCCTGGGGGTGGGGGGTGCCGCCAGGTTCAGCGAGAGGCGGCCGCTGCGGCTCGCAGAGCTGCAGGCCCGTCGCTGGGGGGCGCTGTGGGCGGAACTCGCTGGAAATCGACGGGAGCCCTTCCTGGGGGCCGGAGGCACTGACGGAGGGACCTGCCAGCCGCCGGGGACGCCGACCAGTTAACCAGGAGCCGTTCCCCGGAGAGGCCCCCGGCCCGCGGGAGTGTCCGCAGTCTGGCGCGGGGGAAGCTGGACGTGATGCGCACGTCAGTCTCTGGGAAGAAGAGAGCGGGCGATTTTTGGGACTTTTCTGTCTCCGCACATCGCCGTGTGCCAGGAGCCAGAACGAGCCACAGAGGGGACAGCAGGAAAGCCCAGGGCCGTCACGGCCACGCTGTAGGTCAGGTCCCGGCGCCGCCTCCTGTCCACCTGGGCAAGGCCCCTGGCGCTCCCGGGACGCGACCGCGCAGGCGGCGCCTGCGCGTCAGCAGGAGGAAGAGGCAGGCGTGCGCTACCCGGTTTTCCTGGACCCAGGGGTCGGCCTTTGATTGAATCTTCCTTTTGCCTCCCAGGCCAGTGCTTTTCTGGGCTTTGTAGAGAACTGGGACGTCAGCCCTCGTTCGGGGGGAAAACGCATTCTCTTCTGGAACCCGCATCCGTTGTTCCTGCCTCTCGTTTCTCCTCCGCCTCCTCGGGTCCCCTCCTTCCTCCCGTCCCGGGGCGCGTTCCCTTCCTGGGCCTGCGCCCCTGGGCCCGCGAGCGTCGGAACCTGCCCATTCAGAAGCGACTCAGTGGCAGCTCACCGATGGCTGTTTTCTCCCATGACACCGCCTTCATTTTTATTTCGGTTTTGAAATACCAAACTGACAAATGAGTTTTGTATTTTCAAGGCATAATTCGTCTAGACAATGAACATTTTGGCAAAAAACACCAAGAGTTTTCATCATCAGAAATAATTTTATTATTTATTTTAAAGCAATTCGATATAACTGGTAGCAAAATGGTACATAGACAATAAACAGAACCGATTCCCTCAGGGCTATGAGGACTATTATTGACTTCATGTTTTATTTTCATGTGCAAGTGTATTTTAAAAAGGCAACAGTTTGTTAAAAGGCTTTTATAAGCATGTTTTTATTCTTTAAGTAACAGAAAGACTAATAAATTATCATTATTATAGCGAGCTATATGAATTGTGTCAAGTAGTAAATTTGGACTAATGTTCATAATCAAAAATAACTATTGTAAAATTTATGAAACATAATTTTTAGTTGTATAGGAAATATAGTCATATAACTTAAAACCCTAGTCTTGACAACCATTATAATGCAAAAATACCAAACTTGAGATCTTCCGAGGAAATAGAAGATTCATAAAATCTTATATTTATTCCTAAAAATAACTATAATGAAGTAAAGAAATGGCAACTCAAAGAAACATCATACTTGACTATTGGTGTGCAAATTTGAAACAGGATCAGTAAATTCATTATTCTCCATTACATATATTACTTTTATTCTGTTAATCTGAATAATTTACATGTTAATATGTATGTCATCTGTCTTTCCCGTGTGTTTATAACATATACATACCTATGGGTACAGTCTTTGTTTTAAGGCATGCTTCCAGTTTTAAGTAGCTTGTTGTAAATTTGACTTCTCTGTCTGACTAAGAAAATTACAGGCAGGTTCTCCCTGTTGAGGAAGAAATTCTTGGGAGTTTTGTCATTCCAAGATGAGAGTAGGGTAAAGTATTAAAAAAATAAAAATAAACCAAGAAAACAAAAAAATCCCCCTAACAACAAATAGGCATTTCAATCTGTAAGCCAAAATATACAATGGTTATAATCTACAGTTTTACATCGTATGTTTTACACCTTTATTCCCATAGAATTGTGTGAGGACAATTAGGGTTTCTTTTTTTTTTTAACCCTTCTATTTTCCACTCAATTTGTGTGCTTATTTATTAAAAAAAAAAAAAAGGATAAAATGTCTCTTTCTGGCCTTCTATATCTTATTTCCTGTTGAACTCAAACTCAACATCAAATTCAAAAATAAAATACAAAATTTAAATTATAAAACTGTACTTCTCACTCTAATTGTAAAAAACAGCTTTTTACACTTACCAGGGGCTCTCTCCCTTAACACATGCCAGCTGCCTGGCGATTGCACGCCTGTGCTTTTCTGTCTCTCTGGAGGGGACACAGAAATACAGACAAAAGCACTGGTGTCGCTAAAGGTCAAGTGATGTCCAATTTATAACTGTCAAATTCTGCATGATTTATATTCAATTCCAATGGCAAAACTACCTATGTTTATTATATGCTTATTTCTCATGTTAAAACATAGTTCCTATAGATACGTTTTCAAAATTAAATAAAAAAACATTATTTTTCATTATGATTATTTCAATATTAAAGGCAGAAAAGAGGACTTTTAATGTTTCAAATATCTTTGTATTTCATGGGTATAATTTTGCTTCTTTGAATTTTAAATTATCTATCATGAAATATTTTGTATAGATATATGAAAATGTTGAATCTCAATAGTCCACAGAAAATCACTGCATATTTCAGTTGCTGTTTTGATTCTCTGATTAAATTTAAGTCAACAAATAATGTTTTAACTATTTTCTCTGTCAGGCATTCTTTTAAGAGAACAATCAATATTTGCTTTTTATTATATTCTTGGCATACAATGTGGGTCAGATATAAAGTTAGCAAAAAGTTCAGGTTCTTGATATTTTTTATTTGTTTCGGTTTCTTCAGTGTAATGAAACATGCTATGATCATCTCAAATTCTAAAATAAATACGGTATCATATGAATAGGCAACCAAAACAGGTCAAGCTGATTTAAAGATCTATATGCTAGAGCAAACTATGATGCTTACAAAAATGTCAGTCAACACGTTTGTTCATTGATCTCTGTGTAGAGAAGATGAGACATTTATGATGAGCTCAGTTTCATAAAAGAGCACGTTTAAAGAATATAACACATTTAATTTTTAAGAGGAGCAACAATCTTCTATGTCAAATGCGATGTACCAAATATAGCTGGATTTTTACTTTCATAAAACCTTAGAATATTTTAAAGTTGACTTCATACAGTTTGAATTTGTGTCAAACAATTAAATATCCAATTTAAAATGGTGTTTTAATTTAAGTTTCAAAGTCAATCTATTGATGTCTTTCAGATATTAATAGGGATACCGATAAGCAGTATATTAAATTTCAAAATAATCTATACTTCTAAGAGAATAGATTTTTTAAAAAATATGAGAGATTTGAATATATTCCAGTCTAGCTTATTTCATGCCAACGTCACTTTTTTCTCTAAGAAATAAGAGTTTTTCATTTCTTAAATAAGAGGCAAGGTCCATTAGGAAAAAACAAGTCCGCTCTGCTCGCGCCATCAAAGCTGAGTCTCCTCCCGAGAGTCGTGGCCGGAGGTGCTGCAGAGGCTGCTGCTCTGCCTGGGCTCGCCGCTGGGCAGGTAGGCCAGGGGGTCCGGGCGGATCAGGTACCTGATGAAGCAGAGCAGACAGCTGACAGTCAGCAAACACGGCGCCGGCTCCTGGCGACACCGAGTCGACTGCCGCAGCTGTGCTTGGGCAGTGTTCTGGGTGTCTCCGCTCTGTCTCTATTTATAAACATGAGCAGAAGGACTCGCTGCTTAGTTGGCCTGGAACATTTTTCAGGGATAATATTAAGTTTTTATTTAATTAAAGTTATTGAGGTACCGTTGGTTAATAATGTACAAACTTAGGGTATATAATTCTGTAGTGTATCATCTATATATAGTTTTTTCAATCGTTTTTTGTTTTTTTCAGTTACAGCCGGCATACACTACCTTACTTTCAGGTGTGCACCCCGGTGATGAGACCTCACGCCTCACTAAGTGATCATCCAGGTAAATCTAGTGCCCCTCTGACTCCGCACATAGTCATTAGACTATTGCTCAGGTTGCCTCTGCGGGCTGCGTATTGCACTGCATACTCCCCACTCAGTGTCCAGTCTCCTTCCCTCCCCACGTAGCAGGCCCCCTCCCCTCTCCCCCCTCCCCCGACTCCCCCTCCCTCTGGAAAAGACCATGCTATTGTCTGTGTCTATGAGTGCAGTGGTTCGTTTGCTCCCTTCTCTTTTATATCCCCTGTATGAGGGAGAGCACATCGTTTTTGTCCTTTTCTTTCTTAGTGCACTTGGCATGATATTCTCAAGACCCATCCATGGTGTCACAAAGGGCAGTATTTCATCCTTTTCGTAGCTGAGGGTTTGCATTATTTCTGTACCTAAGAAGACTATGGTGGTGGATGCTGATGAACAGGCATCATTATGTTTGTTATGATCCACTTCAGCACATCCAACTTAGTAAAGATTTATGAGTTATCTTAGTATTTGCTTGATATGTTATCCCTGACAGTGGTGGTGGGTTTTTTTGTTTTGTTTTTTTTCAATCAAGGAGACTGAAATCCTAGCCAGGATACTTCTGTTACTTAACTGCTCTTAGTCTTATGTTTAATCATTCATAAGTAAATTTGATCTAAGTACTTTCTATATTCTTTTTAATTTGAATGTCCTATGAATCTATAAAATGAATGATTTAATAAATGTTATGAATAATATTAGGCACAGGTAATATTTTAGTTTTCTAGAAATTTAAAATTCGGGTTATGCTATAGTAGCCAATTATAAAAAAAAAAGTATAAAAAATAGCTCTTAATTCATTCTGCTAGTAAATAGGAAAATGTTCATCTGCCCGTTCGTCTGAAGAGAGACGTCTCCCTCAGACTGTGGAATGATGTCTGACGGCGCATTTCCTGAGCCCCTCGGGCGCCTTGGCTACAACCTTGGAGTCCGAGAGGCCGTGCCCTGACCCCTGCCCTTCCCAGGATGAGCAGAATCTAATTTATGGAGCAGATGGAAAGAAAAAAGAGAAGTCCCTAACATCATGTAGGAGAACAAGAGCAGGAGAGAGAATGGGGGGCCCCTTTCTTGAGGAGGTTGGGTTGGGCTGAGGTCCAGCCCTGAGTGGAGAGGACAAGAAGGTGATCTGAGACGTGGAGAACATCCCTTATGTGTTTAGAAAAGAAACTGGACTTGAAAAGACTGAAGAGACCAGGAAACAGCAGTCAGTTCAGGAAGAGAAGCAGAAAACAGTTTATGAAGAACCTTAAGTTCCAGGATAATTTTTTACTTTGGTTGGCAGAAAATTGCGTATCTTTAGAACTAGTGTGAGATATTTCAGGTTTTTCTTTAAGCCGTTCTCTTATTATTGTACGTATTTTCTCTTATTTCCCAAATATGCATAGATACTAGCTCAAAGAACACAGAATTGATGCGGCTGCTTCCTTCTTTTATTCCTCTACAATCCTGCAATGTTTTTATACTATTTCACACAGAAATACGTAACGTGTCTTTGTTTATTGAGCACGAAAACAAAGACTTGGACATTTATGTCGCAAGAGTCATAGGGGATATAATGGTGGAGATAAAAATATAAAACAATAAATTGGTAGTTTCTAAAAATAAATGTGAGATGTAAGGTCAACTCACACAACGTCATTCAGCTCCAGCCTGGTGTCTGGGGACGGATTAATCAGTATGTAGGACAGGGTACTCTGATGATCGTTCATTTCATCTGGAAGACAAAGAAAGGCCAAGTGTGTTAATGCTACTTACAGAAAATTGCAGGGATTATTATAGAGCATCTTATCACCACACCGTAGAGCTGTCAGTGAGAACGTGCTATAGTTTTGCCCACTGTAGGGTCACCCATGCAATTGACTCTTTTCAAATTCCTGTCATGGGAAACGTCTGACGGGCACTCACTTTTGATCCAACAGGTGATAACAGGACAGTATCTAATTCTGCTCAAAACAACCACAGTTATAGTCTACCCTTTAAGCTTTTACACTGCAAAAGTATTTCTGTGAAAGAAATAGTTAAACAAGAAGTCGACTTGCTTTCACATGTTTTATCAATTATAAAAAATGATCATGGGTACAGATGGCCATTCCAGAAAGGAAACTCATATAGGAGATTCTCCTAACGGTCCAAGGGAGAAATCACCTAACGCCACTGTGTTTAGAAAACCAACCAAACTGTATCTAGAAAGCATGAGGGCCCTGGATGTGTTTGACTTTGTTACAAGACAGCCACAGTATCGGGTTTTGCAGAATGCGGGGGATCCCACGGAGCAGGGTTTCCCTGTAATTTTCCAGGAAAGAATGCTACCAAGTAATTTGTTTTTCCTCTAAAGTAATATACATATAATATATGTACAGGATCGGGCACAGATAATGCCCCTTTTTTATTATAAAATCTTTTATTACAAAAGCATAAGCATGTAATTCTGTAACATAACAATGTCACACTGATGCGCACTGTATGGCATTTTAGGGGACATGTTCAAATTAAAACTATAAATTATGACACCCACATTATTACCCTGCCAGCCACACTCAAGCAGGCCCTACTTCTGCTGGAGCCTGTATATATATAGCAAAAGATTATATCATTTTGATTTTGTCAATTCACCCTGAAGGCACTGTCAGGCTTCAGGCTCGGGGCGCAGACTGGGTGCCGTGTAGGGGCACTGAAGAAGGAAGGCACGCAGCTCTGGGGCCCGAGGGGTTTAGCTGCCATGGCGTGTGGACCCACGTGTCCATAGCAGCACTCGTCCAAGGGGAAAGTTTTTAGGCTCTGAGAGTGTGTTTAAATTCCCGCTGTAGAGCTGTAGTACTCTTCTGGCCACTTCAGTCGTAGACTTGTCTGGCTCCTGAAAGAGGTTCTAAATTTTACAGTTTGATCCAAAATCTAAAAATATTCTTCATACCCATAGAGACAGATCAATACTCACATAACTGCATACAAAGAAAGCAAAGATCTTTTATAGCTCAGTGCAGCTGCCCTGGTAATTTCCTGCACTGAGAAGTATGTATTTTTATAAAATAACATCTACTACTGTATCCGTCTAACTAAAAACCTGTCACTTGAATATGAAAGAATACTTTTCATTATAGTTCAAGTCGATACACAGATGTGCCCTATTTTTAAAATCTTCACATGAAAATCCTTGCCTGATAGGGCAGCGAGATATCTGCTGCGTAACAAAACCCAGCATCAGTGCGCCAGCAAAGCTCTTGTAATCACAAGATCATCGAGTTAACAGTCCAATGAAGAGGCACATTTGGTCACACCTGCCTCCGGGGTAGATACAAAGGGCGTGTTCTGCCGCCGGAATCGGGTCACCAGGCAAAACAGAGCCTGCCTGCGAAATCTGTACTCAAGATGAAAAAGCTAACCGGCTTTTTAGCATAAATATGTCCCAAAGAGTGCATGTGACATATCTGCAGCAAACCATCCTTGGCTGTTTATCTGGAACCCCCGTCTAACTGGGCATCCTCGGTTTCAATTTGCTAAGCCCGTCGCCCTTGCGGGGGGCGATGGCTGCCTGCGGAGAGGGAGTCCCCCTGAGCACGCGAAAGGAGCCGCCCCAGGAAGGCGCCCTTCCAGCTCTGGGGACGCCGTCCGCCGCGAGGCACCCAGGGCCACCCGATCCTGCGGACAGCAACGCGCGGATGCTCCTGAGAAGTTCTCCGCTGCGTGAATCTCCACCGCTACTGCGCAGACCGGGAATGAACTCTACCTGCTGGGGACTAACGATGCTCGCAAATGCTACGGGCCTCGGAACTCCTCCTTCTCATCTGCCTGTCGTAACTCAAATTCTTATATAAACAGTGGCGCTAAGGAACTTCGTGCAGAAACGGTGAACGTTATTCAACGGTGGCATGAGGGGGAAAGCATCTTAACAAGTAACTTCTCAGTCCCACCCCTTCCCCTTGATTATGCTCATGATGTTAGACTCGTCTTTGGTTCCGGGATGAAGTCAAAACCTATGGGTGACTTGGTTTGCCTGTTATAGGCATAAAAACTGTCTAGATGACTGAAAATTGTACAACAGGAGAGAGAACTAGTGCGTCAATAACTCGTTTTCTGCCCAGGTTTTTATCTGTCATTCTGAAGCTTGTGAGATTTCCACAGGCTGCAGGAATTGGAGCGAACGTTTCGCGACTGAGCTCAAGTCAATGATGACCTGTGGTTCGATCAAGAGGCGGGTGACCAGTGATGAGACCTCATCACTCCCAGCTTCTCTACTCCCCTAGCGCTTCATGGACATAGAAAGGAAAGAGAATTACACTCTTGCTGTTCTTGCAGAGCAACTCAGTGAGTCCCGTTCCCTACACACGTGAGAGTCCCCTCGCTGACTGCCTCTCAGGGTTAGGTTAACAGAAATTTCTAAAAGTGGCTGAGTTCGAAGCCATTCCCTCTCTGCACCCCTGTCCGCCTTGCTGGGGCACGAGGTCTGGCTGCTTGTGCTCGGCCTGGCTACTTGGCTGGGAGGTCTTCCGGCCCCGCTTTCACCTGGTGGCTTTGTGTTGAAGAGTTAGGAGGTGCGGTTTTAAAAGCCCCTTGGGGTCACACATCAAAGCCACATCACCCATCTAGTGTCAGCAGCCACATGTCTTGCGTTTTCATCTCTATTTGTATTTCCTACGTTACGTTTCAGGTTCTGTTTTAGTGGTTTCTGATTTCTGGAGGGAAAAAAACGTGGCAGGTTTTCCGGATCTTGAGGACCCTGTCATAGACATCATCACTGGTGGAGGCCGAGGCACAAGGGGATTAAGTACGGCTTTTTACCCAAAATATAATAACTTATCTAGTAGATAAGTTTGTTCTGGAAAATTTGGCTCATGAGCCAGGACGAGCCTCGTTTCCTACAAAGGAAATCTGTTGAGAGGATGAGCTGCATCCTGATCCTCGACCTGCGACCTGGCAGGCTGAAACTGTTTACATTGTCTTATTGAAATTAACATTTTATCATTGACATAATTATTTAATGGAACTGTTCTTGTGAAAATCTGAAATAAATGTACTAAAACACTGAAAACTGTAAAAGAAATTCAAGAATTAGCACGTGAAGTCTTCCAGCCAGAAGCTTCACGTAGAAAACGTCCGGCTCAGAGCGCTTCATCGACATAGAAAGGAAAGAGAATTACACTCTTGCTGTTCTTGCAGAGCAACTCAGTGAGTCCCGTTCCCTACACACGTGCGTTTCATTTTTGGTTTTTGAAATTTTCCTATGAGGTATTGGCAGAGCATTTTTAAAAGCCTACAATTTGATAAGAAAGAAAGAAATCTTACGTATATGTGGGTACATTTTATGAAATAATAATTTTGAAAACAAGTGTCCATTATGCATTTTGTAATGGGAGAAACATTTTAAATAATAAATACAAAGGTATCTGTTAGGAACACAGGCTCTGAAGCCAGAGAGCCTGCGCAGCAACTGTGGCTTCTCCCCTCACACGGGCTGAGACTGTAGGCAGGGACTTCCGTTCTTTTTGTCTCTCTTGCTCAGTTGCCTCACCTGCAACTTGGGGTCACAGTAAGGCTATGCCACAGGTTATGGATCGCGTTAAATTGTCAAAAATAATCGATATGATTTAAAATATAGAGTTTTTAGAATCAGCACCTGATTCCTAGCAAGTGCTACATCGAGTCTTCCTAGTATTATTGCAGCAGGAAAACTCGATCTGTAATTCCTAGGTGCTAGCTGTTTGTGTATTGCGATGGGAAGGTGTTGGCATGAAAAGAGGAAGAAGAAAATGGTTGGCAAATGGCCAAGGCTGAGGTGCTGAGTGAGGCTGGGGCCTCCAGGCCCCCAGGGATGGACTCAAGTGAGCAAAGAGACCGTTCACTGACGACGAAGTGGGAAAGCAAGTCGGGGCCAGGTCCGTGCAGCTTTGTCGGCCTTGACCAGAAGTTTGATTTTTATTCTAAAAGTAATGAGAAGCCAGTGAGAGGTGGCGAGGCTGGGACACTGGGCACGACCTGCTGTCCCGTGGGGTATATCACCTGGGCTGCTCTGTGGGACGCAGAGGGCTCACATTTGAGCACAGGGAGAGGAGATGAGTATCCAGAAGCCCAGGTGGAAGAGAGAGGACTGTGGCTTGTAGCGATGGCAACGGCGGAAATTTGGGGGGGGCGGGGAGAGGCATAGAGTGCGAGAGAGTGAAATGAAAGGGACAGAGAGAGAGAGAGAGAGAGAGGATGTTTTAAAATGAGAGACACCACAGCATATTTAAATGCTGATGGAAAAAGTTAAAAAAAAAAAATAAAGGAAAAGAAATTAGTGCTGTACCAGAGTGAGGGCATATTTTATTTCAGTCACTACAAGAAATTTACTTTATCAGAGAAAATACTGTCAGTCGCCTAGGGCTTGCTTCTCCTACAAAGTCCAATAATCCAAATAATTGGAAGTTCCGTCGCCTACTGATGATTTCATTTTCCCCTCCTGGACCTTTTTAGCAATTTTCCTGAGAGGCACTATGCTATGCAATGCAATCTTCCGAACAGAAGTTAGGTGTATTTAGTTACAGGTTTATCTGTAAGTCAACTGTAAACTTCCTATATGATTTTAAGCATATTATGTACCTTAGGATAATCATTACTATTCTGCATGATGAATTCTGGAATCTAGGATGTTCGGTCTGGTTCTTCTATAGTTTTCATTCTCACTTTATCCTACTCCTTTTTTCCTCTACCGTCATAAATGCATCCCCGTACAATAACAAC